CCAGACCCAGCACCCCCAGGCTCCGCACGCTCAGGCTCAGCACCCCCAGACGCACCTGAGTCAGCAGCTACCTCGACAGGCTCGACTGCATCTACCTGGGACACACCTGAGGGGGCAGGACCCTGAGGGGGGAGGGGGTCTACCGGGGGGGGACCGGGAGCGAGGAAGAGCGGCGGGGGGGGGAGGGGGGCAGTGCGGTAGGGGAAGAGACAGTAGTACGGAACCGACTCGTCAAACGTGACGTCCTGGGAGGACAGAACACGACGCGAGGTGGGGTGGTAAAACTGCCAACCAGGCGCGTCAGGGGGAAAGCCGAGGAAGACGCAAGGAACAGCACGGGAGGACAGCTTGTCCGCAGACAAGTCTCGGACGAAAGCTCGAGATCCCCAGACACGGAACGCAGACGCATCACCAACCTTCCCCGTCCACCGCAGAGTAGGGGAGGTCTCCGGCAGGGAGACCCGGGCCTGAAGGTTGATCTGATGCGCCGCGTACTGAACCGCGAACGGCCACAGAAAATGGGGAGCAGCCGCATGGATCATGGACGTACGAGCGACATCCATGACCATGCCAATGCGGCGCTCAGCAATCCCATTTTTCTGTGGAGAGGCCGGAAGCGTGAACGTCTGGCGGATGCCCTCCGCACGACAGAAGGCTCGCAGAAGGTCGGAGGAAAACTCTCCGCCTCTGTCGGAGTGCAGACGCAGAACAGGAAAGTCCGAGCTGAAACGCTCTCTGAGCTGGAGACGAGCAACGCGGATCCAGTCGATCAACACATCAGTGACCTCACCCTTGCTGCGCAAGGGGAAGACAGTGGTGTAACGCGAGTAGTCGTCAACCACCAGCAGGAAGTAACGCTCGTGACCCTGTCCACGGACGCGGGCTGGGCCCCACACGTCCATGTGAAGAGTCAGCAGCGGAGCCTCCGTCGAGGGAAACTCGGAGGAGTGAGGAGCGGCGCGCTGCCGCCCCTCGACGCAGGGAACGCAGGTAGGGGCAGGTCCCGGGGGAAGGGGAGGGAGGGACCGGGGGAGACCAGAGACAAGGACACGGGAGGCCATGCCTCGGAGACGAGGCAAGGAGGGGTGACCAAGGCGGTGGTGCCAGAGGAGGGTCTGGTGGGACAGGAGGCGACACGAGCAGGGGGCAGACTCAGGACCTGACCGAGACGCTGCAGCAAACACCTGACTCGACGCAGCTACCTGACCAGACGCAGCAACCGGAGGAGACTCTGTGGTCAGGGTGTACAGGCTCGACCCCTGTCGACGGGTAAACGAGGCCAAGTGGCGGCCCGTCTGAGCACACGTGCAGTGGGTCACTCGCTGACCTGCAGGAGTGAACTGGTCAACTCCGGCATCCTGAAGGTCAGCACCACTCACCAAGTTCGTGGAGAACGAGGGGAGGTAGAGACCAGACAGGGAGCCAGACGGGGCCGCCGGACACGGGAGGACAGTGGAGTAGCGAGCAAGGACAGGACCCCCAGAGGGGTCTGCCAGGGAGACCGCAACCGGCCGACTGAGCGGCGTAAGGGTGGTGCGGTCTCAAAAGAAGGAGCGGGAAGCACCCGAGTCGAGGGTGAAGGTGTGAAAGACCTGAGCCGACTCGGTACCTGAGAGAGCAGACTCACCAGCACCTAGAGTAGCAGACTCACGAGTACCTGGAGCAGCAGACTCACTAGCACCTAGAGCAGCAGCCTCAATACCAGGGTCAGGCGGAACACACACGTAACAGTCACCCTCAGCACTAATAGACACAGCATACATGGCAGCAAGAATAGCATCAAAGTCAAGATCAAAGATAGCTACCCCCGACCTGAGCAGATCTCCCCAACGAGGGATCTCAGTGGCGTCCGGGAACTGGGCACGCCAGGCGTCCGTCAGGCGACCGAAGCAGCGCTGGGTGGCGTGCAGGCCGCCACACTGCTCTCCAGTCTGGTCACCGGTGCGCAGGACGTAAGTACAGGGACCAGCACCCCAAGACCCCTGGCGCCCCGCGTACCACTCACGAAGCTGCTGGGGCGAAGGGGTCTCACGAGAGCGCTGCTGCTGCTGGGGTCCCCGCTGCACAGCTCCGCCTCTGCCAGCTCCACCTCCGCCGCCGCCGCCTCCGACTCCTCCACCCCTCCCTCCACCGCCACCGCTGCCTCCACCTCCACCGCCGCCACCGAAGCCCCCACCTCTGCCACCACCCCCACCCCCACCCCCTCCTCCGCCTCCACCGCCACTACCGCCGCCCCCACCACCTCCTCCAGCTCCCTTGCCCCGCTTGCCCTTGCTGATGCGGCGCCTCTCACTAGGAGCAGACGCAGCACTGACCGACTCGGTGCCAACCAGGTCGACAGCAGCAGCAGAGGCAACAGAGGGCAAAAGAGGAACGGGGGAGCACCCCTCAAAGAAAGGGGTACGGGGGTCACCACGAGAGGCGCCTACAGCGGTGATACTAGTCTCTGCTACAAGGAGGCGCTCCTCGAGGAGGTCGACAGTGAGGGTGGTAGGGCAAAGAGAGAGGAAGTGGTCCCTGACCGAGCGGAGAGTGTCAGGGAGTCGAGTGACTAGGTAGTAGAGGGTGATGTACATGGGGGGGGGGGTTCTGGGCGCAGAACTCAGCAGGAAGCGTAGCGCGGTAGCGAGTGTCACTAGTGCGGAGGTGCGTAATGAGGTCAGTGACTGTGGCAAAAGCAGCGAGGTCAGGGAACAGGTACGGTAGCATGAGGCGGCTAAGCGCAGCAGTGGCAGGGGAAGAGTAGCGTGCAACTACTGCGTCGTACAGAGTCTTAGCACTCTTGTACTGACTAAAGTGCGCGCGCTCAGTAGACGGTAGGTGACTACGCACAGCAAGGCGGGCAGCAGCATCGCGCGTGAGCCACTGCGAGCGAACGGTACTGTCAGCATCAGCAGCAGGGGCAGTAGAGGCGCCCGACGTAAGATCAAACAGGGAGAGACCATCCTTGCTATCGCACTGAAGGAAAAGCTGCAGATCATCTAGCCAGACATCAAAGTCAACCGCTCGACCCTCAGCATCAAAGGTGAGAAGACTAGGACTAGCCATGATAGGAGCAGCAGCAGACTAGCAGCGGCAGCAGTGCAACTGAGCGAGGCAGGACAGTGCGACTCGGCAGGGCGACTCGGCAAAGCAGTGCGGCTCGGCCGCGCGGCTCGGCCCGGCTAGGCTCTTACCAGGGGCGGAGCCGACAGGTCCGGGACTGGGTCGGGGCCGGGACAGGGCCGGGACAGGGTCGGGGCCGAGCAGGGTCCGGGACGGGGCAGCAACGGGGCCGGGACAGGGTCAGGGCCGGGGCAGGTCCGGGACAGGGTCGGGGCCGAGCAGGGTCCGGGACGGGGCAGCAACGGGGCCGGGATAGGGTCGGGGCCGGGGCAGGTCCGGGACGGGGTCGGGGCCGGGGCAGGTCCGGGAAGGGGCCGAGGTAGGGCCGGGACAGGGTCGGGGCCGGGGCAGGTCCGGGACGGGGTCGGGGCCAAGGCAGGTCCGGGACGGAGTCGAGGCCGGGGCAGGTCCGGGACGGGGCCGAGACGGGGCCGGGGTAGGGCCGGGACGGGGCCTTTTAGGGGCGGCGTAGGGGCCGCGTCAGGTACGGGGCCGGGTCGGGCCGTTTAGGGGCCGCGTAGGAGCCGCGTAGGGGCGGAGTAGGGGCCGCGTAGGGGCCGCGTCAGGGACGGGGCCGTGTCAGGTACGGGGCCGCGTAGGGGCCGCGTCAGGTACGGGGCCGGGTCAGGCCGTGTAGGGGCGGCGTAGGGGCCGCTGAGGGGCCGCGTAGGGGGGCCGCGCAGGGGGCCGCGTAGGGGCCGGGTAGGGGCCGCGTAGGGGCCGCGTAGGGGCCGGGTAGGGGCCGCGTAGGGGCCGCGTAGGGGCCGCGTAGGGGCCGCGTAGGGGCCGCGTAGGGGCCGCGTAGGGGCCGCGTAGGGGCCGCGTAGGGGCCGGGTAGGGGCAGGGCCGCGTCAGGGACGGGGCCGCGTCAGGTAGGGGGCCGCGACGGGGCCGTTTAGGGGCGGCGTAGGGATCGCGTAGGGGCCGCGTAGGGGCCGTTAGGGGCCGCTAGGGGGCCGCGAAAAAAAAAAAAAAAAAAAAAAAAAAAAAAAAAAGGGCAGCTAAAAAAAAGTTGCTTATGGTGGGCCCTTAGGAAGGAACGGTCCCATGAGGGATCCCGCTCTATACCATGTGAAGAATTTAAACAGGAATGAATGAACTAGGAAAGTGTGAGATACAAATATGAAACCTGTGCCCCTTAGTGTCTACCCCACTACAGCCTACATAGGCTAAGGCATATACATCTGACACGCAGATCTCTTCGTGATAACCCTCAATCTCCATGTTGATCCGTGTCTGCCCTTTGCTTGGGATGATGCTATCATCACCCAGGCGAATGGGGCAAGACGGTCCTTCAACGAGGATCGTGCGTGCTGTAGCCCACTTTTCGTCAAAGAGGGAAACAGTTGCACCCGTGTCAACAAGGATTTTTGCGTTTTCCCCGTTCACGCTACCCGCAAGCAACAAATTTTGTTGATGCTTTGGGCGAATAGGACATGCCAAAATACTCGTCGAACGTTTTAAGTACACCTTGACGTTGTGACGAGCGCGTCCATGTGACTGAGAGTTGGTCCACCACACATGGTGTCCCTTGTCCCACGCCGCTAGGACCGGCCATCCACGAAGCGCATGGAACAATTCGCCTTTCACTGTGCGAGTCACCAACGCGACCGAAGTCAGGGGGTGCTCTTGAGTGCAACGACTTACAATCTCAATGACAGAAGGCAGAATGTCCAAGCCACAGAAAATAATTGAAAATTTATCTTGCATTGCTTCCATGGAAATTTTCTCAAGTGGGTACGATCGAGGATAAAAAACAGAGTTTTTATTAAAAGAAGAGGCAAACAAACAAGAGACTTTGCAATCAGCAAGCTTCTCTAGCTTTAATATATCATCATCACATAGCACATATGCCTCATCCACTCGATCTATTCCTCCAACTAGGTACCCACACCCTAGTTGGGCTTCTGAAAATCCTTCTTTCCAGAAGATCCAGCGCCGTCTTGCTTAGGCTTCCCAGAATACTTGATTGGGTTCTTGTTACGGCACTGGGATGCGATATGCCCCATCCTTCCACAGCCTCTGCACCGCTGGTCGGAGAAATCCGGCTTGTTAGGACCATGACCTCCCCCTCCGTTAGGCCTCTTGGCCTGTGGACCCGGCTGGTGATCACGCTGCTGGAAAGGCCTTTTGTTCCTACCGCTTCCACCCTTCGCATTCTGGGGCCGGTTCCCATGACCACCAGAGCCTTCAGCACGGGGCTGCTGGCCTGTCTTTTCGGGGCCAAAAATGTACGTGCGAATGATGTTGTCGGTTTTGATCACCTGCTCCTTCATCTCCTTGTAAGTCGTCCAATTGGTCATGCCGCCGGTCATGTGTGCCTCCTGCAGGTTGACAGGGAGGCCCTTCATGAAGATGTGCATCATCTCCTCCTCAGCCAAGGGCTTTTGGAGCAAGCGTGCTGCGGCCTCAAACTCGACCGCATATTCCTGCACCGAACGGTCATGACACTTGATACGCTCAAGGCGTCCGCGCAGTTCCAGGTCGGACTTCTTGACCATGAATGCCTCCTTCAGCGCGGTGCAGAACTCCGGCCATTCAAACGGTCCCTGTGCCTGCTTCTTAGCGCCATACGCTGCCCTGCGGGCCACCTCGTCCAACGCACGAGTAGCTGCAGTGACGCGAGCCTCGGGGCGCACATTCGCAAGGATCATGGTGGAATCCACCAGGTCGAGCCAAGTCTGCACCTCCGTCTTGTTATGGTTAAACTCAGGCAGAGGCGCCGAGAGAGACCCAAAGGCGAGGTCTCAGTTGGAGGTGGCTGGTGCATAGCCGTCGCAGCGCCTACCGCCGGGGGTGCGGGCGGAGCGGGTGCCGGCTGAGCAGCAGGAGCGGGCCTACGCCCAGGAGGAGGTTCGTAAATACCATCCCTCCTAAGATGGGTCAACTGTTCATTGAGCTTGTTGAATGATGCTTGCAGATTCTTGCAAGTCTTCTGAAACCACTCAATTTGGCGGTTTTTAGTGCCCAGGCTGCGACGGAACTCAGTAACCTCCTTCATGGTAATGCTCAGCCTAGCCTCGAGGTTCTGAGTGTGCTTCTTGAGTCCATCAATGGACATCTGCTGCTGCAGGATGGTGAAATTCTGAGTTGCCACGTTAGCCTGGAGTTGGACAATCTCCTCGGAGATAGGATAAGTCATGCCTTCACCCTCAGTGAAGTCATTTTCATCACCAGTGGCCTCCTTTTCACTGGTGTTATCCTCTTCCCCAAGGTTGTCAGCCTCACCATGGTTCTCAGCTTCACCATGGTTCTCAGCTTCACCATGGTTCTCAGCCTCATCTCCAAGGTCCAGGTCCAAGTCCTCAACATCATCCAACTCAAGGTCAGCCATTGCCTCATCTTGATTGAGGTCAATCTCAGCAGCATTGTTCACCACCTCATTAGGTGCAGTGGGCCCTTCCTCCCTTGCCATATCCTTCTCTTGGCCAGATGCCATAAGGATTAAGGGAGCTTGTAAGATCTGGGTTGATTCTGTTAAAGTCTTTTTACCACCTCAATGGTAAAGCAAGAAATTCTTATAAAAGAAATTTCTTCTACAGAATAATCCAAGTTACCAAAGGTAACAGATTTGTTGTCAAGCACTCCCAATCACCTAAGTGAAAGGGCAGGGTCTATCCAAATCTCAACGAAGAGAACTTGTATAACCATCAACAAATCCTCCAGATCCAAGTTTATACTCCACTACTCAACAGTAGAGAGTCTTCCACCAAAAGGTGGGCAAGAGAGATAAATCTCTCTTCTTAGCTTGAAGTTGCAGTTGTAGATCTTGTAGATCTTGAACTCTTCAAGCTTCCAGATCTTGAGTGTTCTCTTAATGAGAAACCACAACTCCAAGATCTACCAATGTAGGGATAACCTTAGCTCTAGATACCAATGTAACAACCACGGCCCTTATAACAACGGGCAACCGTGTGTTAAATATAGATCCTCAACAATTTATTTAAAATCAAGATACAAGGCTTTCAAGATTAAACTAATCCCACCAAGGGATATTCTAGCCTTAATAGTGACTTGAAGAGTTGATGAAGCTTTAGTAGGTAGGTAGCTAGCTTCTGGTAGAGCTTATCCTTGAGATAATAGAAGTCTAGTTGTGTAGGAGAGCTTATTAGGAGAACCAAAGACTTAGAGTGAAAATCCCATTTCCAAGTTAGATTGTTGGAGTTGGGAAGTGGGAATGAGCTTGAGAGCTCCAACCCCTTCCATCATACCCCTTGGGGCTCTTCCCAACCATGGCTTCCATGCTTGGGGAGCTAATAGGCTTGGAGCCTATGTGGCACTTTAGTTTGGTTGGGGAAAACCCAACTTAACACAATTGTATGGTTGTTTTAAACTTTGTGTGGATTGTAACAACAACTGTCAACTTCCCATTGGTTGGAAATCCAACCTTGCACATTCATTTGGTTGGGTTGGAAAAACTTCCCAATCTTCACTTTTGTTGGGTTGGAGAGTCCCAAGCCTCAAAGTTGAGGTTTGGAATACCAAGCCAACCTTTCTCTCCCAACTCAACCTTCAACTCCCGTAGTCCGATTTCTGTCGAGACATTTCTCAACCTAGACTAGGAAGAAGTTAGGTGGTGCATTGCAGCGGCGATGGCGACCGCTGTAGTAGCAGGGGCGTCGGTTGCAATGGCAGTGGCGGCGGCTGTAGCGATAGCGGCGGCGGCAACTGCAGCGGCAGCAGAGGCGGCTGTAGCGGTAGCGGCAGCTGCAGCAGCGGCAATTGTAGCGGCAACGGCAGCTGTAGAGGCGGCGGCGGCGGCGGCGGCTGTAGCAGCAGCAGCGGCTGTAGCGGCGGCTGCTGTAGCGGCAGCGTCGGCAGCAGTTGCAGTAGCAGCGGTAACGGCGGCGGCAGCTGCTGCGGCAATAGTGGCGGCTGTAGCGGCAGCAGCGGCTGTAGCAGCAGCGGCGGCGCACGAGAGGCAGCGCGAAGGGGCAGGGCAGCGCGATCGCACGGGGCAGGGCGAGCGCGCGGGGCAGGGCAGCACGCGGGGCATGGGTAGCGGCAGCGCACAGGGCAGCACAAAGGGCGAGCGCAGGGCAAAGCAAGGGGCGCGCGTGGGGCAGCGCGAGGGGCGCGCGCGGGGCAGCACAAGGGGTGCGAGCAGGGCAGCGGTAGCGGCACGTGCAGGGAAGCACGTGAGGGGCAGCGTGGGTCCAACCTAACCTAGGTACGGCAGTTGGTACGACAGGTACGGCAGTAGGTATGGCAGGACCTAACCTAGCCTCGGATACCATGTTAGAATCATAAGCAACGGAAGTGGATTGCTCTAACAACGGAAGTGGATTGCACTAACAAGTAGGAAACCCTATAAATCTGTATCCTCTAAGGCTAGCCTAACAATATACAAACATACAGTTTTGACAAACAAAGCATTTCACCTGACTATTTTGCGCCATGTAAATGGTACATATAGATGCATTTTTCAACTAGCCTTGTGGCCGTTTGTCTCGGGCTGGTGGTACTACCACCCAGAGTTGCATCTCCTGCTTGGTTTCACTTGTTGACTGTTATTGTGACCATTTGTCGCTCTTGCTCGCTTAATGCCCGTCACCTAGCCTTTAGGAGTGTGTCAAACTATTTTCGCTTGTGTGCTATAGGCTACAAGGAGGTGTATTGTATAGAATATAACACTTTCTAAGGTTTGCCACATGCACCCACCTCCTGCTACCGTAGTTACCGTATTATTCCGGCTATAGGACCAGCCGGTAAAAGGGTCCCCCGGGACTCTCTATGGGTTACTGGGACTCTTATTTTGGTACCAAAATGTGAGGACCCCCCATTTACATACAGTAGTCGTAAATGCGATTGCGCGTCAGCTTTTATAGGTATTATTTCGAATTCTGACACGCAGTGTGTGTCAGATTTTGATTCTGACATGTTTTTGTGTGTCAGACGCGAATTCTGACACAAATCTGACGCGCCGCTCGCGTGAGATTTCCACAAATCTTATATATAAGACGCGAATTCGTTACCGAATATAAGACCCCCCCCACTCCCCCCCTTCCCCCCCCCTCTCCTTAAAACGAACAGTACATGGTAAATCCTATAACATTGTTAGACAAATAAGCACACCCAGGTCTTCAAAAAAAAATGTATGCGAACTATATGTCCACCCTAGCATTTTTTTCTGCATTTGTAGTAAGTCCCCCGGGTCCTATAGCCGGAATAATACGGTACACTCATTCCGTTGTACGGATTCTGACAAGCACTACCACCGACCAAAAGTTAGTCTTCTAGCATCTGAACTCCTATTGCAACCACACAACGAACTACAATGCCCCCCCCCATGGGGTTTTGTACCACTTGTCAATGAGGCTTAGGCACGAAGAAGTGGTCAATGAGGCTTGGGCACAAAGCCGTCGACTGCAAAGTTGCGAGTGGCAGAGGGCAGCTTTAGGCGCAGCCCGTTCAGGTCCTTGGTGGCAATCACTTGGCACCCCAGGCGAGACCTGTGGAGGAGCCACGTGCAGCAGCCGCAGCAGCAGCGGCAGCAGCGGCACCAGTGGCAGGGGTGGCGGGGGCGGCGGGGGCGGCAGGGGCGGCAGGGGTGGCAGGGGCGGCAGGGGTGGCAGGGGCGGCAGGGGTGAGGGAGAGACGGGAGATGCGCACGTCCTCAGTGGCTGCGGGCAGCAGCAGGTGCAAACCATCCAACTCTCTGGCCGAAATGATCTGACAGCCAAGGCGCGACCTACGGCCACACAAGCACACACGAGCAGGTAGGCGCGGTGAGGTGAGCTCACAGAGGGCTCAGTGCATGAAGAGGTACGCAATGCAGGTGGAATCGTATAGATACAGTTGATGCAGAGGACTCACGTAGAATGGATGCAGTGGAGAGGACTCACGTAGAATGGATGCAGTGGAGAGGAATCACGTCTCTGTGAGGCCGAAGGCGAGGTCGAGCATGTCGTTCTCCTCGTCTGTTGGCTCAGGCATCTTGCTGTACTGCTCCTCGTCCTGCCCACCCCGCATGGCCGCATTACACGCACGCATGGATGATGACTGGCATGCATGGACGATGAATTGCATGTGTGGATGATGGCATGTGTGGACGATGAATGGCATGTGTGGATGATGAATGGCATGTGTGGATGATGGCATGTGTGGATGATGAATGGCATGTGTGGATGATGGCATGTCTGGATGATGAATGAATGGCATGTGTGGATGAGGAATGGCATGTGTGGATGATGGCATGTGTGGATGATGAATAGGATGTGTGGATGATGGCATGTGTGGACGATGAATGGCATGTGTGGATGATGAATGCCATGTGTGGATGATGGCATGTGTGGATGATGAATGGCATGTGTGGATGATGGCATGTGTGGATGAGGAATGGCATGTGTGGATGATGGCATGTGTGGATGAGGAATTGCATGCATAGACGATGCATGGCTTTCCAATAATGAACCAGCACGGTATGTGGATGGCACGGGCACTGGAGTGACAACACACCATGACGATGACGTGGCAGGTGGAGCAGGCGAGTGATGCTTCGCATGCACCTGGCATGCACATGGCACGGGCAGCACACACGGCAGGCAAGCAAGAAGATGAAGGTGGAAGCAACAACGCTCTCACACATGACTCTCAAGTGTGAGCAACTGGGGCTCCATTGATTTGTGTCAGTTTATATCGATGCAGGGAGGTGTGCCATGTTTGAAGTCACAGCCACCAGACCACTGTGGTAAAATGACTTGTTTCAGCAGCGGGTCCATACGCCCATAACCCCCCAGGCTAACATGCCTATAATCCTTCCTAAGATCAATCGAGGATCCCCAGTACAAGTCTCTTGACGCCCCCCCTACACAAGGAGGCCCAAGACACGGCACAACGCATTCGGCAGCATGAGCGTACACAGGGATTTGAACCCAAGACCTTTGCTCTGATACCATGTTAAGAACTACACAACAGCAAAATGAGTTGACTAGGCAACAGTGAGATACAAATCTGAAACCCTTAACTGCTGTACCCCATAAAGCATGCCCCACTATAGCCTACACATCATAGTTATAATTTTGACATGCCTTGTATGTGGGGGCCTTGTGGTGAAGGTGGGAGTAGGGAGGGAGGGGCACCTTCAAGGTGGGAGCAGGGAGGGAGGGGCACCTTCAAGGTCGATGTCATTGTCATGTGCGGCCTGCAGCACGTTGGTGCCCACTGGCACCTGCACCACTGCCTCGCTGCCGTCCCTCTGCACAAACGTCACCTCGATGCTGGCCCACAGTAGCACGTGCACCGCAGGTGTACACAGCATGCAGGGGGCACGCACAGGGGACACACACACATGCATGCAAACCCAATGAGTCGAATGGACAGGCAGGAGAAGCACATGAAATTGCAGGATAATGCGTATCAATGCCTCGGCAATACCTCTCTTCTCCCTCCTCGAGTGTGGCATGTGAGGCGGGCGCAGAGGGTGCTTCAGATGACGCCGCTACCCTCGATGCTGACCCCCATGCTGACGCCAGCGCTGCCATGCATGCACCCAGTGATGCCACGCATGCACCGTGGGAATGGAAGGAGGGCAAATATGATGTTGCATATGGAATGCGGTGGGATGCGGTGGATGCAAGCGATGGTGATCACAATCACTGCGGACCCAAGCAGCCACTGCCTTTTGTGATTCTCACATCAAACACCCACCCACCCACGCACGCAGGCATACACACACGAGCCGCCCGTGTCCATAAAGTGGGTCCAAGCACCTGAAGTGAGGGCAGCGCACCTGCAGGCGTGGTGAAGCATCTGAGCTGCTGCATGCTGTGCCCACCAGTCCTTAGTGGCGCTCCCACCTCACACTCGCTGGCGCGGGGTGGATGGGGGAAGAGAGGGGGGGAAGAGGAGAAGCAGTGGAGTTGAACCAGGAACGAGAAGCAGAGGAGTTAAACGAGGAACGAGAAGCAGTGGAGGTGAGTGATGGCGTGGAGGTGAGGCGGGAGAGAGTGAGCAGCAGCCAGTGCGCACTCACTGCTCTCTTTTGCCCTTCTCCCCAGGAAGCCAAACAGTCCAGGCCAGCCCCCAGTGGCAAAGCCCATCCTCACTCTCTTCCATGCCCACTCAGCCACCCTCCACTCACCTCACCCTCGCCTGCATCGCCTGCCTCATCCGCCCGCCACCCGCCGCTGCTGCCGCCACGCTGCTTGAGTGTATGTGCGCATGGGTGCTGCTGCAGCACGCATGCAACGCTTGCGATGCCGCAGGGAGAGCGGTGGCGGCAGCAGAGGGCAGAGTGGCAATCGACCTCGAGATCTGCACGAGCGAGGGGATGGGAGGGCTGGGAATGAGTGTCGTGTCGAGGAGTGGGTGGGGAGTGGGTGGTGCGATTGAGTGCCCCCCACAACATGCATCCACGTACCTCCCCTCTCCCTCCTCTCCCCTCCCCCACCCGCACCACACACGCAATGCTCGCTTTGCCTCGCCACTCCACTCGCCTAATCGGCATGTGGAATCACCTGATAAGCGGGTGGAATCACCTGATAAGCGGGTGGAATCACCTGATAAGCAGGTGGAATCACCTGATAAGCGGGTGGAATCACCTGATCGTTGGGCCGTGCAAATGCGCGAATCAAGCGGCGGTTTGATTGGATGGCAGCGGAAAGTCGCTGCCGCACGGCCGACATGGCGAGCGAGGTGAGGAAGATTCCGCGAATGGATGGCTTTAGAGGCGCCTCAAGAACGGATGAGCCTGATTCTGAAAAGTGAGGGGATGGAAAAGACGAGGAGGGAAAGGGATTTGGGGTTTTGAAGCCCTGTCAGGGACGGGAGGGTGGTGAGGACTGAGTGTGGGAATGGAAGGCAGGGGACGAGGAAAAGAGGTGCGTGGGGAAGCGAGGCGATCTCATGAGCGGCTGGCGCGGCTACTGCGAGAAGGGGAGATGGAGAGGCGAGAGAGAGTTTTTTGGGAGGCATGCATGGGAGATGGATGCAGGGGGGAGAGATGGAGAGGCAGGAAGAGGTGACGGGAGGCGGGATGAGGAGATGGGAGGCGGGATGAGGAGATAGGGTGGCGGGAAAGGGAAATCGCGCGGCAAGAAGGGGAGATCGCACGGCAGAAAGCGGAGAAAGGGCGGCGGAAAGGGGAGATCGGGCGGCGGAACGGGGAGATCGAGCGGCGGGAAGGGGAAATCGGGTGGCGGTAAGGGGAGATGGGGAGGCGGGAACGGAGGCGCGGCTTCTCGACAAGAGGCCGCAAGGGGAAATGAGGCGCGGCCTTTCGAATCAAGGAGACAAGAGGCCGTGGGGGGAAGGGAGGCGCGGCCTTCCCTCTCAAGGCGACGTGACCCCGCGAGGGCGCGTACACCCCTGCCTCTCGCCTCAATGCGACCAAACGGCCGCAAGGGGAAGGGAGGGGCGGACTCTCGAATCAAGTTTTTCGAAAGGCCGCGAAGGCGCGTACAGGCGCGGCCTCTCGCATCAAGGAGACGAGTGGCCGCGAGGGGACGGGGACTTGCCTTATCGATCCGTCGCGAAACGACGCCGATAGCAGTGGCGTGGCAAGGCCGTTAACACTGCCTTGCGATGCCGCTAACAGTGGCGTGGTGAGGCCTAATTAGGATGCTACCCTTGTCTTTCTTACCTAGGGTGTGGCGTGTTTGCAAATCCAAGTGAGTGAGGACTACTGGTAAGGGTGGTGTGGTGTGGCCTGTAATTTGGTAACCAACTTCAAGTTCCTAAGGATTTTGAACCTGCCACTTCCAAATGTATACTGAAGCTTTATCGATCACCAATCTCAACCCCCTCACCCCGCACATGCGAACTCGCGGCCAGCATTCACCTTACCTCTCAACACTGAGTCCTAATCTTCTCATCAAGCGTGCCTTTTTCGATCGAGTGCATCCGTTCCCGCATCCATCCCGCTGTCTCAGCTTGCCCCCTGCTCCCTGCGCGCCGAATGACCCGCGCATTCTCTGCGCATCCCTCCCGTTGCTTCAGCCTGCCCCCTGCGCGCTGAATGACCCGCTCGCGAGCCCATGGCAGCGTCGGCGCGTTTCGCGCGTGGCGGAGCCGCCATGGCGTGGCGCTGCTGTCGCTAGTGGCGGCGATCGTCCTGGCGGGACTCGTTCGTCCAGTCGCGCCGTCCACCGACGCTCCGGCGCTGCACGGTGTGGATCGGTTGCGCATTCCAATCGCGCCCAGACATCCGTCCGTGCCAATACAGGATCGCTCGCGCACCTCTCGTTCCTCCATCAGTTTTAGGATGTACCAACCGCTCCACCCCAATTCCTCGCGTACTCTCCTCCTCTTCCTCCTTACCCTTCAACCCTTCCCCGTCCCTCCCGGTTTCCCCTCCCCGCGCGCCCCCCCTCGCGTTCCAGAGTGTGACTCGTCGGACCCGCTTTTCTCGCCGCTCTCGCGCTTCGGGGGGGACCACGCGCACCGCTACCACCGCCCGGCGCACCTGTGCTGGAGCAAGGCGGAGATGCCGTGCTACGCGGGGAGCCGCGGCATGGCGGCGCGCTCCGAGACGCTCAAGCGCAAGCTGCGCGCGTACCACGAGTACCGGCGCGAATGCGACGCGAAGGAAAACATCACGTCTTTAAAGACAAAGCTGCGCGCGGGGAACGCGACGGAGTGCAGATACCTCCTATGGCACTTCAAACCCGGCGACGGGCAGGGGAACCAGTTCATCTCGCTCGTGTCCGCGTTTGTGTATGCGTTGCTAACGAACCGGGTGTTTCTGCTCTTAACGGGGATGGGACCGGCGAAGCTGATGTGCCAGCCGTTCGAGGGCGCGCGGTGGTTTGTGTACTCAGACGTGCCGGACGAGCGGTGGGATGCCACCCTGGTGGGCATGCGCATCGCTTACCAGTACTTTCCTGAGCGAGTGGCAGCTATCCAGAATGGCACCAGCGACACCATGGATGTACCTAACATGTGAGTGCAACTCGTGAGCCCAGCAGTTGGCCTGTGAGGGAGTTGGCCGTTCGAGGGCGCGCCGTGGTTTGTGTACTCGGATGTGCCGAGCGAGCGGTGGGACGCAACCCTGGTGGGCATGCGCATCGCTTACCAGTACTTCCCGGATCGAGTGGCGGCCATTCAGAACGGCACCAGTGACACCATGGACGTTCCTAACATGTGAGCCCCACATGTGAGCCCAGACGGTTGACTTATGAGAAATAAAAACACCAACGAGCCCAACATTTGTGAATGCGGCTGCCTCCCCCCTCACCTACCTCACCACCATCGCATTCCCTTCTCATCTTCCCACCCACCCATCCCTCCCACCCCATTCACTCTCCCCCCCCTCTCTCCCCCTCCGCACCTCTCCCCCCACCAGCGCACAGGTGAGCCTGCACCACATGAAGCGCACAGGTGAGCCTGCACCACATGAAGCACAACTCGAGCTTCTTCTTCTGCGCCTCCACTTACTCTTGAGTCAACTCAACAACCCCTCGCCCCATCTACCCCACCCCCACCCCCTCAGAGCACAGGTGAGCCTACACTACACGGAGCGCAGCACGAGCGTCTTCTTCTGCCCCTCAGAGCAAACCTGGCTCGCCCGCGTGCCCTCAATCCTACTCCTCGCCAATCAATACTTCCCACCCTCCCTCGTCCACCACCCCTCCTTTCCCCCCCAGCGCACAGGTGAGCCTACACCACACAGAGCAGAACACAAGCCTCTTCTTCTGCCCCTCAGAGCAGCAGTGGCTGGCCCGCGTGCCCTCACTTCTGCTCCTGGCCAACCAGTTCTTCCTGCCCTCGCTCTTCCACCACCCCTCCTTCCGCCGCCACATACAAGACCTCTTCCCCTCGGGCCGCATCTTCCAGACCGTCTCCCAGCTCATCATGTTCCCCAACAACCGCCTCTGGGCGGCCATAACCGACAACATTCACCGCCGGGCGGCGCCGGCCGCCGCCCGGGTGGGGCTGCAGCTGCGGCATTGCAGCGCGGATATTATTTCGCAGGCGGCAGAGTGCGTGGTGCGGGTGGCACAGGGGGATGCAGTGGCGGAGGCGAGAAGAGAGAGGGAGAAAAAGGAGGGGGAAAGAGAGGCGGGAGGGGAGCCTGGTGGGGTGGGGGCGGTGGGAGGCGTGGGGAGAGCAGGTGAGGGTGGTGCAGTGGTGGGAAGTGGGGCAGCAGCAGCAGCAGCAGCACCAGGGACGGGTGAGGCGACGACGGCGTATGGAATGGGTGTGGCGTCGGAGGAAGGGACTTCTGCTGCCGTTGCGGTTGCTCTCGCTTTAGAAAAGGGGGGCGCACCTGCTGCTGCCGCCGCCGCCGCTGCTGCAGCTGCCGGTGCTACCGGTGCTCCAGATGGCAGTGGCAGCACGAGTGAGAGTGGAGGCGGTGTTAGTAGGCCGAGCAGCTCAACCGTTGTGCTCGTTGCTGCTCTCTACGAGTATGCTCCCTACAACCTCTCGCTGCTGCTCTTCCCCAGTGCTCCCTCCTCCCCACTCACATACACCAAGGTTATTCTCACAGACAGCAGCAGCAATGACACTAGCAACAGCAGCGCCGGCGCGGACAACGGCACTCAAACCGGCTCTCTTGCGACACACTCCAGCAGCACCACTGCAATCACCACAAGCACAGAAACCACCACCAACATTAACAGCAGCAGCAGCGCGGCTACCCCAGATCTCACCCCATCAAGCACAGTGATCAGCATCCCTGCCAGCAGCAGCGACATCAGCAACAGCAGCATCATCAGCAACGGCACCTTCTCTCTCGACCGGCTCACCACAGAGACAGCTCAAACCGGGCTAGACACCGAGGTGCAGCACGCCATCATCGACATCTACACCCTCGCCCTCGCCTCTGATGCCATTCTCATCTTCCCCACCTCTACGTTTGGGTACCTCCTCTCCTCGCTCTTCGGCCGGCCGGCGTTTTTTGTCTCTCAGGGCTGCCAGCCGGCCCCGTTGGAGCCGTGCTACCAGCACCCCCCGCAGCCGCACCAGTGCTCGGATGGGCAGCTAGTGGGAGTGCCGCCGTTTAGTGATTTGTTTGGTATGTGCCCGGATGTATTCAATGGGCTCTCTCTGCTGTATAATGGATCAACTTAAGACCACTAGTGTTACCAAGACGGAAGTCAATGAGTAAAAATATGCATGTATTTCTCACATACCGGGATCAGCACACCCTATACTTGCCTGTAATGCTAACTCTTAGCATAGAATGCAGAAAATGGTTTGGGCTTTAGTTCTGGCTCCTTGCTATTTAAAGCTGCAGTATACATTTGTCAGCCGGGTTTAGGGTTTATATTGTGTGCCTCACAGCTTTGAGGCAACTTTTCAAATCTCAAAAGTTTTTGAACCCAACCTTTCAAATGTATACTGCAGCTTTAATTCGTTTTACTGCTACTCATTTTGCAGTCTAACATCGAGGATGCCCTTTCTTCGCAAGAAAACCCTAAACGAGTTCATTCGACCTCACACTCCCTTGAGCCGATTCTTTTTCACGTTCTTTACATTCTCCGCGTCTCACTGCTGAGGGTTTCGCATCGCGACGCGACCACTCCATTCCTCCCCTACCTTCACACGTCTCACGCGTTCGTCTCGCACCCACACCCACTCCCACACCTCCTAACCACACCGCCCTTCCGCCATGGCGGCAGCGCGCGGCGGCGGCGAGCAGATGGCGGGCGACGAGAGCCTGGTGTTCGAGACGAGCAAGGGCGTGCAGGTGCTGTCGTCGTTCGAGCAGATGGGCATTCGCGAGGACCTGCTTCGCGGAATCTACGCGTTCGGCTTCGAGAAGCCGTCCGCCATCCAGCAGCGCGCCATCAAGCCGATTATTGCCGGCCGTGACGTCATTGCGCAGGCGCAGTCCGGCACGGGCAAGACGAGCATGATCGGCCTCGCTGTTTGCCAAGTCGTCGACACGAGTTCGAGAGAGTGAGTCGATGCGAGTTATAGAGAGTGAGTTGACTCTCAACACTAGTTTCAGAGAGTGAGTTGACTCAACACTAATTCGGCACGGGCAAGACGAGCATGATCGGCCTCGCCGTCTGCCAAGTCGTCGATACGAGCTCGAGAGAATGAGTCGATGCTAGTTCTAGAGAGTGAGTGGATACGTCCTCCAAAGAGTGAGTTGATACGAGTTTCAGAGAGTGAATTGACTCAACACTAGTCCGGCACGGGCAAGACGA